AGATGTTTGATATTCACACTGATAGTGAGGTTAAGCTCTACTGTCTATGTTATAGGGTAACAATATCATTATGCTTCTCTTTTGAAGTGTTAACAACTTAAGTTTGAAGGCTAAAAATTAGAAAGGAAGTAGTCTTTCAAGGTCAGTGAGGACTGAGGACATAGGAAAACCAGTACTGTAACATTTTGTAACTTAGTTGTGTACCAAACTCACTGATCAATGAGATTATGAGGTCACCAAACAAAGTGATCGATGATATAGAATGCACTCAAAGAGAGTCACATGGAGAGAAAACATTCTCTCAGGCTTTCACAGGGAACAAGTTGGTCAAACAATGGCTATAACTCATCCACATGGCTGACACTAACAAAGGATCTACAAACTGTGGTACAGGGTTTTAGGGTAAATCTTGAGGGGGATTTGACTGACCTTGTCAGATACAAAAGCTACATTTCTGGTTATATAGTTCTTCTTTTATCTTGGTCTTAACCATCTAGTGTAAAATTATAACAAGCCCTATTAATATACTGATCTGTAAAAGGCTCAAGTCAACAATTTCTGACATCGCCAGTCCTACAGAAAACCCACTATTATTAAGGACTACTGGATTGTATCGGATTATTTTGCTGAATCCATGCACCTGAAATGTTCTACTGGCAATCGAATACCCATCTCTGAAACAAGTAAACAAAAAAGCAGATATAAATGAAGGATCATTTTGTATCTCTATATACAAAATAAGATAGATATACAGCTACTTTCTCTTAATTCAATGAGAAGAAAAATTTGTACTAAGAGTATTTTGGCAGGATATCATGTCTGCACCTTCTGCTGTGAATAACCATTATGAATACAGCAATATGTAATATATTTATTTTGGAAACTGCCATACTAATCGGTTTTGAAACTGTCTCATTGCTATTTGTTGGTCAATAAAATTAATAAAAAAGTTATTTTGAAAAGATTTAGTTATATTTAATATAGATCCAGAGTTGTTACAAACTGTTAACAAATGGTCAAAAGTTTATCTAACAATTGAAGAGTCCAGAATAAAAGACTATGGTTAATACATGTATGAATAGATGGTGAACTTCATTGGTAATTAAAGTTATGCAAATCAACATGAAGATTCAGTCATTTTTTGTTTCTTTTTTGTTTTAATTTGTGTATTTTGTATGGGGTCTCATTATGTTGATCAGATTCCTGATAATCCTCCTGTTTTCAGCCTTCCCAGTGCTGGGATTACAGGCATACACCACCATGCTCAGACTCATTTGCCCACTCAGCGTGCCCTGGGGGAGGGGTCACAACATGGCATGTAGTACTGGGGATTGAATTCTGGTCCCTGCACTTGTCAAAGTAGGCACTTAGTCCACTGGGTTATCTGTCCAGCTCTTCCAATCATTTTGATTGTCAGAGAAAGATAGGGATCTAAAGACACAGTAGTGAATAATGCACAATAACCTGTACTTACAGAGTTTCTTGAGTCTGTAATCACTAAAGTTGTGTATATACTTAGTGTAAAGGTGTCAAGATGTATAATTAAATATCAAAGAAGTAGTCTGTGAGAGACTGGCGCAGTGTGATTTCACTCCTGGGCTGAGGATGTAACTTAGTATGTGATGTCCCATGACCAGTCCCTGGGACTACACCCCAGAAACTCACACATGATTTTATTTCAGTTTAAAAAGCTGCAACATACCCAGTCACACGTTATGAGTAAAGGCTGCTTGACTGTAGCCAAAGATGTCAGTGAGCATCCTCTGATTGGTAATATAATGAGTGATGTATCTTATAGATGATGTTTATCCTGTCATGGCATGTTTTGCAAAGAAGAGAAGGTCAAATGAAATTAGTAGTATCTATTTAGTTGTGAGGTAGTGCATAGCCATTAGCTTCCTATTTGTCATAGATTTTATGTGTTTGAGTCCTGTGGCATAACATGGAGAAAATTTGTACAATATTTAAAAACAAACTTTTAAGAGGGCTTTTTGATTTTATTTTCTGATTCAAGAGTACCTGTCTCGTAGTTGAGGGAAAATTCTTTTGGATGCTGACAAAAGGGAGCTGCCACTTGTTAAGAGGTGATATGTAGCATGAGATGGGACTTCCTTTGTACTACTTAAAGACATGATTTTTGAAGTTGGGTAAACAGTTGTAAGTCAAGATTCCATTTTAAATCAAATTCCTGCAAACCTTAGATTTTGGGGACCATCTTAGGCATAGTGCTTTCTGGGGATTAGTTTTACTCTTAACATCTTATCTTAGTGGAGCAATGACTAATGATTGCATGAGTTAGTTAAGTAAAGTATGAAAATGACAGGTGACACAATCAGAGTTGGTTTTCTGCATCTTTTCTCTATAGATTTTGCCTGTTTGTTGCACTATAGATTAGCCTTGCTGATTGTGGAACTATTCAGATGATTGTGTATATCCAGATAAAGCACGCAGGAACCTAGAATTTGCTTGCTATATAAAACAATTATTACCTCCAAGGAATTTATACTCTTATGGAACTCTTTCCACAGTATTGCTGAACTGAGTCTTTGCTACAAACTCACTTCTAAAAATGAATGTATCTTACAAAATTAATGCACAAATTTACCTCACTGTTGTAAATCAGACTAAATCTGGATTTCATTTTCTCTTAAAGAATGATTCCACTAGGTGGAGGCATTTGCTCAATTTTGTGGTTCACACCAAAGTATAATCCTGAAGTTCATTTTGCAGACCTTCTCAGAAACAAGGCCAATAGCCTTAGGCCTCACAAGACCTGGTGCTTTGCATTGTAACAGATGGCAAACATATACACCTTGCTCCATGGAGTTTAGTATTTAAATGCTTAGCAAAGGAAAGCAGCAGGGTTTTAGCATCAAATTTATGGGAGTTTGTTAGAATTGTTACCACTTTGAAATAGCTATTATGGGTCAACTAGATTATTAACCAACTATTATTAAATGTTCTCATTGAGCTGGAAAATAGTTCATGCATTCTACAATATGCTGATTTAAGGTCTATAATAATTAAATATTTGATTTTTTATTATAGTTCAGATGTTTTGTGCTTTATTGATGATAATGACTATGATCAATACATAAACATTTTTACATAATACTTTATACAAATATCTTCATGTAAAACTATATCTCATCAAATTATGGGAAAAATATTCCTTGTTTAAGGATGTCATGTGAGTGACAAAAATATAAGAGGCAATTCTTAAAGTCACTAAAACATGAAAGACTTAGCATGCCATGGGAAAATTTTTTTTTTGAACTTGAAGGTTTTTGTGGTCATCTTCTTGGGTGTTTATTTTTCTGTTTTTATTGGTACCAACATTAGATGGAAACAATATCTTTCTAGTTAAGTAGGAAATTCATCTGTTCCTCTTTAGTTTTATTTGAAGCCTTAACATCCTGTGTCATCAGTTAATTGGTTTCAAGGAAGTAAGTCGGAAACGCTGAGCTTTCTGAAATTAGCTCAGCTCTTTTGGTGTAATTGACTTTCAAAGCCTTTCTTCTATGAACCCTATTGTCTAACTTTATTGTTTTATGATACTCTATTAATTGCCTACTGCTGTTCTCATAAACTAACAACACAGACTTTTGCTCTTCAACCCTATAGAAAATTTAGTTGTTATTTTATTTCTGATTTGTTTTTCATCTTATACCTGTGGTATATGGAAGAACAAGTCAGATGTGGATAAACATTTTGTTAAAGGTGGTTTTTCATGTTTCTCATGTCTAATAGCTCTCATACTATTTTAAAATAATGCATTTAATTTGTCATTTAAATGAACTTTTTGTGTACATTGGAGAAAATGCATAATTTACCAAAGCATTTACTGATTGATTTACCCTTAGGATGAAAGCTTGGCCCGCCAGTTGGTGGAGCTAGGCTACCGGGGAACTGGAGAGATTCTGAAAAGAGAAGATTTTGAAGCAAGAAAAGCAGCTATAGAGATCGCAAGACTGGCTGAAAGAACTCAGAAAAAGTGAGTCTCCATGCTGCAAGTTCAAATTTTGTTATATTCTAGAATCTCTAGAAAAAACAATATTTTGGGCTTTCTTATAATTTAGAGAGGATGACTAAAGCAGGTAAAACTTGGAATGTCCTGGATCATGAACTCAACAGCTCAGGAATGGAAAGAAATGTAGTATGTGTGCAGTAAAGCCACATGTGACTTTGAACTGCTAATTTAAGAAGTATAAATAAATAGCAAAATATGGTATCATATTAATAAATTCCTATAAAACGAACTCATTTTATGCATTTACACATTAGAAAAATGTAGTGACATTTTACGCTTTTACACAAGAGAAGAATGGAATGACTTTTGTCTTAGAGTTTGTTTGTGAAGCTTGCAAACTGATATTATATTTTCATATGTATGTAAATGTTGATTCATTTAACTGAACCATTGGTCTTTTGTTAATGTGGCTAATATTATGTTACAAAATATGAATCAAATAAAATGTATTACCTATATAATGAAAATGATGTAGTCCCAAAGCAAACTTCACCAAATAGTAAAACAACTTTGAAAAGACCTAGCAAAGTAATTTGCTTAATTCTAAAATGTTGTGTACATTGGGGAGGATAAATATGTAGGTATCTATACATAATTGTTACATAACATCTTTAAAATACCCAGTAATTATAACAACAAATTTCCCATGAGCTCATTATTAATAACAACTTTTGATAACATGTTGTGAACGGGTCTTGGGTGTGTCCAAGTTTAACTGACCATTCTAGGGATTACTGTGTTTTAATCATAGATGATCAGACTTGAACATCCTGGTATTTGGGAATATGTTAACTTTCTATTTCTGTCATAGTAATGGCCTCCAAGTCAGTATGGTAGAACAGCATAAATATACTTCTAACAGCACAAATATAAGTATTCATGGTTCTCTCTCTATATATCTATAGTATGACTTAGCGGAGTACTCTGTTTGGTACACTTCAGGACTGAAATCCTGCCTGGAGGTGCTCAGGCTGTCTGCTTCCACGCTGAGAGGGTTGGCTAGATTCAGCTCCTTTTGGCAGGAGGACCGATGTCCTCATTTTCTGATCAGCTGCCATTTGGAGGCTATCTTTGCTCCTAGAGGCTGTGTACTTTTCAGGATGTCTCCTCTGCCCTTCCAGCAACAGCAGGTCCATGCCCTCTTACCCTTGAAGTGTATTCAGGCTACTTAAGTGCCAGTCATGGGAGGCTAATCCCACACCGAGCTCCTAGGATCCAGGAGAACCTTTTCATCTGCAGATCTTCCCTGGCTGCCTTTGTAATAGGATGGACCCCATATACTGCCTCTTGCCCCATGTGGGAGCCGCTGTGTTCTCTTCCCTGCCAGGTTCCTTGTAGCATTGCTGATGGAAAGACCAGCAGAGGGCGCCATAGAGCCAACTATGACCAGCGTTCGTAGAAGAAGCGCTCCTATATACATCCTTTTGCTATTCTATTTTTTCTGTTTTAAAGAAAAGAAAAATAAGCAATAAACAAAGATAGTATAAAGTTTCAAAACAGGATTTTAGGAAAGTAACAATGGTCAGTAAATTGGATATTGTTATCTTCAAAGTACTTGCTAAGATTACAAGTTATAGGCAATATATATTACAAGGAATATATATATATATATATATATATATATATATATATATTCCTTGTCTTTTCCTTATTTTCTCCTTTTCTCCATTACAGTTTCTCTTTTCTTTTGAACACTTCCTTCCTTTTTCAGAAATCTATTGGACATTTTATGTTTTGTTTATTTTACTTTTTTCCAGCTTCTTACTCTAGGGAGACAAGATGTTTACACATGTGAGTCTGATTTATTTCGTTTATATGTACTCAGGTTGCATCCATTTCCCCATAGATGACTCAGGTTTAGCCTTCATTATAGCTGAGTAGTACTCTATTGTATAAAAATACATCTTTTTTATCCATTCCTCAGTTGATGGTCATTTACATTGTTTCCAAGATTTTGTTATGAAAAATTGTGCTGCTATAAACATGAGTGCACATATATCACTGGTATGATGTTTTGAATTCTGGAGAAATAACCAGGAGTGGAATATCTTGGTTGAATGGGACCTCTAATCCTAGTTTTTTAAGGAATCTCCATGCTGATTTCCATAGTGGTTGTACCAGTCTGCACTCCCACCAACAGTGGAGAAGTGTTCCTTTTTCTCCACATCCCCTCAAGTATTTGTTGCTGATTGATTTCTTGATGATAGCCACTATTTCTAGGGTGAGATAGAATCTCAGTGTTGTTCTAATTTGCATGTCTCTAATGACCAATGATGCTGGACATTGTCTCATGTATCTATTTGCCATTTGTATTTCTTCATCTGATCATTGTGTATTTACTTCAAATGCCCTCCTTTGGATTGGGGCTTTAAATTTGGGGGCAGCGCTTATATTTTCTGAGCAGTAACTTTGGAAATATATTTGAACATCTGACTTTGACTGAACAGATACTGACTTACAAACACTTGACTCTGTTCTAATATTATCTAGGAATATTATCTGTAACATGCAGATAAGTAATCCAGTTAGTTCTGGTCTGGTAATCAGAACGTGCATGCCAAGAAGTGCTGGTGTCCAAGAATATTTTACTTATAGCAGACCTTTAAGTTTGGAGAGATTGAGGTCAAGGATATTTGGAAGAAATATTTTGATGAAAGGAGGTATCAGGAGGCAAAAAGATCTCTATTCAATTATTCACAAATATTTATAGAAAACCATACTATACTGCATTAGTCACTATGATAGCTAGGCTCTGGATACACAGGAGAGCACAGAACTTAGTGTCCTCAAGAAGGTGTGAACCAGATAAATGGAGGAAATTACATTGTTAGTGGTAACAGAAAATTTAAAAGTTTGGTAGTTATCCAAAATGTTAAGAAAAGAGTAATCATGTGACCCAGGAATGCTACTTCTAAGTGTGTACCCAAGGAGACTGAAAACATTAGTCCACTCAAGTAGTGAAACATGAACATTCATAGCCGCATTATTCATTGTAGTCAAAAAGTAGAAACAAGCTCAGATACCCATCAACAAATGAATGCATAAAAAGTTTGTAAGGGTAGTGGTCTATTAATCTGTTATAAAAGCATGAAGTTCTGTAACATACTGCAATAAGAGTAATCCGTGAAAATATAGAAATATACAAAAGGAGCTAAACACCAAAGAAAACATGTTGCATGTTTCTTTTTATATTAAGTGGCCAGATGAGGTAAATCCATAAAAGTAAGTAGATTTATGATTAGCAAGGAAGGAAGGAGGAATGGAGAGTGCAGTCTAGTGGATATGGGATTTCTGTTTGGAGGGGTGACAAAGTGTGCAATTAGGTATTAGGGATGACTGCACAACTTTGCATATATACTAAGAATTTACTAAATTGCACACTATATAAGAGTAAAACTTGCATTATTTCACTTATATGCTAATAAAAAGGCAGTAACTATAGAGGACAAAAATGCAATCATGTGTACTGTGACAACAACTTGATACAGGTAACAGCTGAAATTTGGAGAGCTGAGGATGTAGCTGAGAGTAGAGTCCTTGCCTATTGTGCCTAAGATCCTGGGCTGGATCTCCAGTACTATACAAAAATGCAGAGGGATAGTTAAAAACAGAAAGTTCTTAAGGTAGGACCAATAGATTGACTCAGATAAAGCAAAGAAGGATGCTGTGATGCACTCATTCTGCATTTTGCCTTGATTCTGTGATAAACGCTCCTTCACAACTCGTTTTCTTTACCACTCTATCTTTACTGAGTCATCCTTTAGGCTGGGCAGGCGGTACGTGATTATCAATTTCACTTTGGATCAGCTTTTGCCATTAGCAAAGAAACTTGGCCTTCTCTAAACTGGCTCAGGGATGATGACTACAGTTGACTAAAGCACATCAGAAACAAAGATGGTAGGAACACCTAGTAGCCCTGATGGCGTCTTGGAGGTGCTGAGTTGGCTATCAGGAATTGTCTTGAAAGGCTTTCTGGTAACTGTTTGGAGCCCCTCTCCCACCAAAAAAAGGTCTTTTACAAGCTTCAAGTCTTGAATGTACAGGGATAAGTGTGTTCTTTCTGTGACTGAGGAGGTTTTTCCTGTTGATTAATTAATTGATTTATTTAATATATTTTGTACAGGGTCTACACAGTTTACAGGGTTTCTCACTACACAGATCAGACTCCTAGTGATCCTCCTGTTTCTCAGCCTCCCAAGAGCTGGAATTATGGGCATGCACCACCCACCACATCCAGTCTCAATCGCCATCTCAGCTCACCCTGGGGGCGGGGCCAGCATGGCCCAATCCCTGCACCTGCTTTAGTCCACAGAGCTTTGTGACCAGACTTTCTCCCTGGTAATTTAAAGTAGGGTTCTTTTCTATTTTTAAATTTTGTAGAATTTTGTTTTGTTTAACAGGTATCACAGGGCTGGGGAGATAGCTCAGTGTGATAAGTGTCTGCCTGGTAAGCATGAGGTCATGAGTTCGAGGCCTGGTACTCCTCCCCCTCCAAAAAAAAGACCCAAACAGATATTACAGACTTAATGCATTCTATTACTAGTGCCCTAAAAGTCAAAGAACTTTAAAAGTTAGCAGTTTCTAAAATCAGAAAAATGCACATTTATTGTATAACATGTGATAATACAATTTGTCCAACTTTATGATGTAATCTTAAAGCACTTAATAAAAAATCAGTAAAATATATATTGTACATTGGCAGGAATATAACAGAATGATTTGTATTCTGTCTTCAAATTCATCAGGGGATTCTGTTAATGTAAAAGCTGGACAAGTCCCCAGACTGTTTTATATTGATCAATTTAATCCATTTATCATTCATTAACTTATTCTTTCTGGCATGATATGTGCTTGTTTCCTTCAATTTGTTTTTAGAATTAGTAAATGGAGTGATCTAATTACAAAACATCCTTTTAATTTTATGCAGATGAAGTTAGATAAAAGTCAGAAATTTTTATGTACAT